TTCATTGCTTTCATCACCACTTATACCTTGATTTCCGAATGTTCCGAGACTGGTTTTGAATTTTCCTGGTTCCTCAACTTCTTTTCTTGAGTTGTTCCACCTCCATGTCTTGTGTATCAAACACTACGTCACTACTCACTATTATTTTTCTGCTGGTTGGGTCGAACATTCTATGGGCTTTGGAGCCTGGCAGTCCCGAGTTGTACTAGGGTTCTTGATCTGTCATCCAGTTTCCCTAGGTGAGGTTCATCGAATTTTGTATACCTTATACATTCGAATACTCTAAGGTGCTTGACACTCGATTTCTTTTTCTTGAAAATTTTGTATGGTGTCTGTGAATCCAAAGTTCTTGTTCCAACCCTATCGATAAGAAAAGTAGCATGCCGTAAAGCCTCCCCCAAAGATAATTAGGCCCGTTCATATGACTTAGAATGCTCCTTGTCATCTCCAGTAAGGTTCTACTGCGTCTCTCTACAACTTCGTTCTGTTGCGGTGTATACAGAGCTGTTAGATGTCTTTGAATTCCAGACACTTCACAGAACTTTTGAAACTCGTGATTTCACGACCGATAGAGGTCTTGAACGTCTTGATGCTTGACTTTGCTTCTTGTTCGACTACTGCCTTACAGATTTTGAACTTGTCGAATGCATCTCTTTTCTCTCTTAGTAGAATGGTCCACATATAACGTGAATGATCATCCACAAGTACAAATATATATATATATATATATATATATATATATATATGATTCTTGCTGCAGTGGTGAGTGTAATGGGACCGCAAAGATCTCCGTGTATAAGTTCCAGTGGCTCTGCAGCTCGATAGTTGGTGGCTTGTGGAAAGATCTGTCTCGTTTGCTTGCGGGAGATTCACATGTTTACCTTTCTAGTTTGATCTTAGGAATACCATGAACCGGTTCCTTACGTATCATTAGCTTCACTGAATCAATTCCAATGTGACCCAACCGTGCATGCCATCTTGCTGAATCGTTTTGTACCTCCAACTTTAGGATTTTTTTGTCTCCTGTCTCCATATCAACCTTATAGAGACATTTCTTGGACCTGTTGGCTTTCACGATTAGGTTACCATCCTTATCATGCAATGCAAGGTAATTTTCTCTCATCCTTACGTTGCACCCAGCTTCCGTAGCTTGACAAAGACTAATAATGTTGCTTCTCAGAATTGGTAGAAAGTATACAACAGACAAGAGATTCTTCTCACCGGCTTGGCTGATAAATAAGATAAAACCTTTACCTCTGATATCTATTTGGGAATCATCACCAAACCTTACCTTCCCTGTAACAGTTTTGTCCATGCTCTTGAAGTAACTTTTATTACTTGTCATATGGTTGTTAGTACCATTGTCTAGGTACCAAATCTTATCTCCGTACATGCTTTACTCAAATTCCTTAGGCTTCACGTTTCTTTCATTAAGATAGACCACTTCATGCATCATCAAACCATCATCCTCTTGTGTCTCATCTTCTCTTGCTTCTTGAGCTTCTGCTAGCTTGAGAAATCTGTCTGGACACGATGCAGCGAAGTGCATTACCTTATCACACCTTAAACAAATTACTTTGGATGCATCTCTGCTATCCCAATATGAGCGACCTCATCCTCTTCCTTTATAGTAGCCACGACCACCTCGACTTCTTCCTCTGTAGCCGTTATAATACCCTTGATTTGACTGAGAATCCATTTTAGCGTACATCAATTTGGTTTTTTGATTGTCTTGGTTATCTTCTTCGTCCTCACAGATACGTTCCTAAAAGGTTTTTAAACGCCATATGATGTCTTCAAAGCTAGTCGTCTTGAGATCAAGATATTGTTCAAGTGATGCCACCATATGAAGATACTTCTTTCTAGGTAAACTCTTCAAGATTTTCTTCACAAGTTTGGTATCTTTCATATTCTCTCCTAACGCGGCTGACTTTGTTGATATTTCAGATAATTTACCAGCAAATTCGTTGTTACTCTTGTTTTGCTTCATCTTAAGGCGGTCAAACTCAGACATGAGAATTTGTAGTCTTGCTTTTCTTACTCTGTATGTGCCTAGATGGTGTGCCTTGATTGCATCCCAAATTTTCTTGGCAGTATCTAGCTCACCAACTTACATAATTAGGGTTTCGGGAATGGATTGAAACAAGAGCGCCGTTGCCATGGTTTTCTTCTTAGCTTCGCTTGACTCCGACTCCACGGCCTCCCATACCGCGTGAACTTTCAACAGAACTTTCATTCGAATAGCCCACACTGTATATGGTTAGTTGTGGTTAACAATGGCAGCTGATTGAGGATGGTCCTCCTCCCTTCTTCCGCCTTGGTTCCTGCGGTTACTATATATATCTCCCATGATCGATAATATCTGTTAGCTCTGATGCGAAATATTGACTCTCAAAGATTGTACATGAACTCAACAAACAGAGCTTTATTACTCCCTCCGTTTCAGAATACTTGTCATTCTAAGCTTAAATTTTTTGTCACAAATTAAGTGTCGTTTTAGAGTTTTGAGACAAAATTTATTAATTTTATATAATATTCAATTTTTCTATTGGTTGAAAAGTGGTTAGATGTATAGGTAATTGTGTTTTTATCTTGAAAATATGTAAAATTAAATATTTCCTTAATCTTTGTGCAAAAACTTAGAATGACAAATAAAGTGAAACGGAGGGAGTAATGGTTAAGAAACTTTCTCAAAAGTTCTCTCAAACACAATCTCTAAAACTCATAAGTTATGCAACACTATTGGATCTTCTTATATCTCTATAATATTATTTGAGAAGTCAGTTTCCTACGTGTCGTGTTCACGTTAACTCTCACGATGGTTGATTACATAGATATCCTTAATGATTTGTTAGATTTTAAGATTATTATTTTTTATTTATTTTTTTTTTTTACCTTTTTTCAAATAACATATACAATAAAAAGGAAATATTTCTAAAATTTTAAAACAAATTTTAAATATATGTATATAATATGACTTTATTGAAACGGAAAGTTCACAAAATAGCAATACCCCATTAATATATATTTTAAAATAACATAAAATATATTTTCAAAATAATAAAAAATATATATGTTCATGAACATCCAAAAACTTATCAGTTGCACTTTATTTTCTAATATTTTTTAGAAATCAACATATAATTTGATAAATATTATGAAAATACATGTATATTTAAGCGATAACTAAAACTAATTTGATTTGACTTAACTAAAATAAATAGTAAATAAATATTATGAAAATACATGTATATTTAAGTGATAAATAAAACTAATTTGATTTGACTTAACTAAAATAAAAATTAATTATTCTACAATTTTTATTTACAAATATATGATATTCAATATACTCACAAAATGAATGACTCGGCTAATCTAATTTATATTCAAAATTAATCAACTAACTACAATAAGAACATATAATTTTATAAGAATAATATTAATAATCTATTTAGTTTTATACATATAAACTAGAGGTTGACCCAAAGCATATTAAAAGAAAAAGAAAATATTAACCAATTACAATTTAATTCTTTTTAGAATTTATATATATGCATGCGACTTCAAGTTATTATCATTCTATTCATTTATGTAATTTTGAATTAAACACTTCAGCTTATTATTTATTTCATTTTAAGCAATATATATATATATATATTAAGTTATACATAATTTAACTATAATATAATTACATATCTAAGAATATATTTACATATATAAAGACAATAACCATCCGAAATGAAAATAAGAAAATTAATCAAAGTATTATTATATTTAGAATAAAAAATATTATAGCTGAATTCAAAAAAATAATTATTATCTAATATACCAAATTGATAACCAAACCGACTATTGATAAAAAAAATAATTAAACCGGTAATAATATATCCAAAGTCATATGTATAATTAGAATAATATAATATTTATTAATATAAATTATACATATAAATTGATTAAAAACTAAAACTATATAACCAATCAATTATTTATTTGATTTAAGCACAATATATATAGAGTTATACACAATTTAACTATCATATATTTACATATCTAAGAATATAGTTACATAAAGACAATAACCAACCGAAATGAAAATAAAGAAATTAATCAAAGTTTTATTATATTTAGAATAAAAGATATTATAGCTGAATTCGAAAAATAGATATTATCCAATATACCAAATTAAAAACCAAACCAACTATTGATCCGAAAAATAATTACACCGACAATAATATATCCAAAGTCATATGTATAATTAGAATAATATAATACTTATTAATATAAATTATACATATTAATTGATTCAAAACTAAAACTAAATACCAATCAATTATTATAAAATTTTATTTTTATGAATATTTATATCCGTGCATGAGCACGGGAAAATCACCTAGTAGAGATAATATTTCATAAACTTATTAAGAAACTAACTATCCTAATCCTAACTCAATTAGGATTGGTGTAACTTGAATCCTAAGTTAACTTCATGTTTATCTCCAACAAGGTCTTATAAATAAGACTCGATATTCATAAAAGTTAGTTACAGTATACGGTTCCAAAAGCAAACTAAAGAAAGAGATCAAAAGGTTGTGTGATTAATCTTTCAAGTGTTATAATAATATTTTGGTTCTAATAAAGAGATCATAAGTTTCAGTGAGACTGTTTTCATTCTAAGTTTAAACCTTAAAAGTCGTCATCATAATCATTACCAAAATTGTCTCTAGTCGGAATGACAACGGACACTGAGAGTTCCACTTGATACAGTCATCATCATCTTTACCTCCTCTGCAACCTCAAAGCCCCGTCAAAGGCCTTCTAGATCATCTGAGCTCTAACGATTCGTCAACACAAGGTCTTAACGGTATTGATTTGATTCAAAACCTCCATGATCCTAGTTTCCTTTTTTTTTTTGTTATTTTTTTGCTCTAGAAGTTTCCTTGAATTTTCAAGTAAGATGGAATTACAAATTTCTATTAACCTAATCTTTCTTTGTTGATTAAATGTTACGTGCAGAGGGAATGACTAATAACGGATTTCAGATTCCGTCTTCTGATTACTTTTACAGTTGGATTGTTTTCAACATAAATCAACTTAAGGTATGTATGTTTGTTAATCTGTATAAGTTTATCATAATTGATGCTTTATCGCTCTCTCTTTTTATGTACCATTGATTTTTGCAGAATATACTACTTAGCTGGTTTAAGCCGTACGGACCCGATAATATAGCAAGAGAAGAGCTCAGCAAAGCAGAAGCTACTACAGCTTCTAATGCTCAACCACAACATCGCGGTTCAGATTTATATGAAACTTGGCCTAGCCATGTTTACCAATCTATCCCTTGTGGTGAACAAATTCATCAGTCTCCTACAGCCTCTGCCTCCCAGCTGGTGCTTGGTCCTCAAAGTGTATCTTCCACTTCTCCTGCCATTCCAGTTTCTCTTCAGCAGGTAATATATATCAACATTCTCTCTTAATAAAAAAAAAAAGAACATTCTCTCTTAATTATATAATGTCGCTCTAGGTTTCTAAAAACATCGTAGTTGTTTGTTTTGTATACCTTACGCACCACGCAAAACCAACTTCGCTTGTCTTTTTTCTTAGACTGATAGAAGATTTGAGGCATTAACTACGAACTTCAAGCAGTGCGAGATATGGAATGGTCTTCAAGGAAACAACAATCAAGAAGATCAAACTTATTATTATTTTTTTTTTATAACACTTGTAACAGATTTGGGATTTGCCTAAAATATTGAAGGATCTGCTTACATGATCTCCCGCAAACCCTTTGACCCTAACGGAAGACCTTTCAATCCTTTTGGCCCAATCGAGCGACCCTTCCCACGTTTACCCTCTAGTGATGAACTAGCAGATTTGGGATTTGCCTAAAATACAAGTTTCAAGAACATATCATTGACAAGTTCATGTGTGTGTGTTTTCTCTCATGACCTTATCTTTTGTTCCTAGGATTTTCTAAAGAATGTTGTTTCTATTTGCCCATCTACAGAAAATATTACAAATTCTTCAAGAGTATTAAAAAAAATCTCTACTTCCATGTTCTTTTCTTTCTATTCCCTTTTGGAAAGCTTGCCCATTAAAAAATCTAGCCCTTCAATTTAAATTATATTTTATGCGATTTACTCTGGCTATTATCCTTTTGGGAGAGGAAATCAAAACAAAATTTACAAAGTTTCCATGGTAAAATGATAAGTTTAGATGCTAAGAAAAAAAGAAGAGTGTAAAGAGCCGGCGACAGTGTCTATCAACACCGAGGAGGAGGCACCTTCGTTGTTTTTCTCATTGCCAAACGAAATCGTTTACAACTTCCTTAAAAAGAAAATCAGATGTGGTTTATTTATGAAATCTATCATGGAAAATGTGTTATAAATTTACTGTTCTTTCGATTACATGTATTGGGTTCATTCAAAAAGAAAAAAAAATACATGTAACAGTGAAAATATATAGATTCTTTATTTAACATAGATATATGAAAAAGGTGAAATCGTTGTTTGGTTCTGCGAATTAAATAGTGAGTAATGATGATGTATAACTTTTCCTGTAAGGTTTGATATTTTCTCTTTTGTCTCTACGGGTTTTGAATTTTATGTGTTTGTTCGTGTTTGTTCGTGTTTGTTGATTTTTTAGAGATGTAATAACTACGAAAAGTCAAATCTCTATGGAATGGAATTATTCTTAATTTGGCTTTACTTTATGTTCTCGTTGTTATTTAGGAAACTTGCACAGTTGATGACAAATGTGACATTGTTATACTATTGTTGTAAAAAAACTAAGACACTAACGGATTTCATATAAAGATAAAGATAAAGTGTTTATGTCTTATGAATTAGATTCTTCATTTATAGATAAATAATCTCGACGCTGAGGATTTGTTTCCCAGAATTCAAGATCTCTTATGTACCTAGATCTCTAAATGTTGTGTCTGATCATCTAGCAAAGACTGTCTGATCCTTTTATCGTAATCTCATGTATGTTGGTTGTTCTATTCCAGTCTGTTTTCCCATGCCACCTCAAACTTGAGTAATAGATCAACCTTTCGTTGTTCAAAAAAAAAAAAAAAAAAAAATAAGCTACTTCTATTATGGCAGTTCATCACTTTCTTCTTCTAAATCATTGTAATCTTCATAAACCTTGATAATCCAGAATGGTGAACTCTTCTCATATGCTCGCCAATTTGAAAAGCATGACATTGTAGCACGATCGTCAAAGTCCGGTTGCTGAGAATTTGGAAAGCGCGTAATAAAAAAAAGAAGCAATGTTCAAGCTCATATTTCATCTATGTTGTGTTGTTGCGCAGAGAAATAATAATTTCGAGCTCTCTGACTTCTCTTCCTTCTATATGATTCAATGATCAAAGCGGGTATTTGTTGAGCTAATGAACCGGATAATCCAATACCAACAGACATGCTCATGCTCCGCAATCATAATCATTTAATATCTATTATATTAAAAGAGAAGTCACAACTTATCTTCATGTGTGATATTTTTAAAAATGGACCATTCCTAGAAAGTAATATTTCATATATATCTTAATAACATTTTATTTGACTTAGTTACAATATCTTTTGATATCTTTCTTCTATTTGAAATAAAATAAATATTTTAAAAAGAATTCTAACAAAATCTTTTAGAATCTTTTATAAACATTAAACATATGAATAATAATA